TCAGGATATAGAGGGTCAGAGATTTAGCTCAGTGGGTTTTGCCACTTGCCTTGCAAGCACAAGGACCTGAGTTTGATCCCTGGTACCAAAAAAAAAAAAAATATATCAGGATATAGAAAGTAATGTCAGTGCCAAATTTAACCACTGTAGTTCTAGCCCGTGGTCTCTACCTTTCATGCTCTCTACTAAAATAAGCCTATGTATAATTGATATTCTTTTATAACTAATACTTAGTTACTTTCTTAAACTTTACTTCCTACAGATTTGTGTTGTGACTCTTTATTATGTTGATAAAATACTTTTAAAAAGCTAACTTGCTAAAAATACAGAGAAATTTTAATCATAATTAGAAGAAATTGACATCTCTTTGCTAAGCTTGAATACATTGGATGAACTTAACCTGGGAAGTTAATTATTTCTCAGGGCATCAACTAAACTAAAGTCATTGTATTCTAGAAAATAACATACGAGAACTTGGAGACCAAAGCCTCTCACCTTAATAATGCATTTGTTCTTATTTTCAATTTTTTTTTTTTGGTACCAGTGTTCGAACTCGGGACCTTGTGCTTGCAAGGCAGGCGATGGAACCACTGAGCTAAACCCCCAGCCCAATGCATTTGTTCTTTAACTCTGACAAGAGTTTTAATTGTCATGCTGCTGCTGAAAACTTTTGGAAGTAGATTGCCTTTGAATAATCATAGTAGGGCCGGGGATTTAGCTCAGTGGTTCCACCTCTTGCCTTGCAAGCGCAAGGTCCCAAGTTTGATCCCCTGTACCAAAAATAATAATTATTATTATAACCCCCAGCCCAATGCATTTGTTCTTTAACTCTGACAAGAGTTTTAATTGTCATGCTGCTGCTGAAAACTTTTGGAAGTAGATTGCCTTTGAATAATCATAGTAGGGCCGGGGATTTAGCTCAGTGGTTCCACCTCTTGCCTTGCAAGCGCAAGGTCCCAAGTTTGATCCCCTGTACCAAAAATAATAATTATTATTATATA